CGTTCTGCTTCTCCATTACYGTATACTGATGGTCCACCTCGCAGTTACTCTGGGAAATCCCTGCAGGAACTGGCCTCTGCATTCAGTGGGGCAAGTAATCCTCCTTCCCTTCCCTCTTAGGGGATCTAACCAATTCCTTTCCTTCTGTCAGTGGAGCTTCAGTTATGATGAATGTGCTGGAGCAAGTCCAGGTGTTATGATAATAGCTTATCATGAATATGCCCTCTGATAAGTGCTTTTCCTATACTGACTCATTTATTTTCACATCCATGCTGTTATTGCCATTGCACAAGAGAGGAAACTGAGGCCAGAGGGGTAAGTCACTTGCCCCAGGGTGACTCAGCCGGGAACAAGGAAAGTTGGAATTCTATCTCAGGTTGTAAGGTTCTAGCAGTCGTAATAAGAGCCCCCAGAAAGGGTGGATCAGGGAAGGTTTCCAGAATCTTCTGAAGTTGAGACCCAAAGGATGTGGAATTAGCCAGGGAAGGTGTGATAATGATGTGCCAGCCAAGAAGCTGGGAAGGAAACAACTAAGCCAAAGAGAATACCCTTGCCCTTGCTCTCTATTTAGCTTTAAATCTTATCTTGAACAGAAAAAATATTTACCTCYTGTACTGAGACTTAGCTTCTGTTTATGTTTGAGTATCTCATTTATTTAATCAGAGATCAAAGCTTTCCCATTTTCTCCCCCAGGTTCCCCTTTAGTCAGTTAACTTCAAAGTTAACTGGGACATTAGTTTCTGAAGATTTGTTCACATCCCTGAAACTCAATTTCTTAAATCTGGAGCCCATTTTTCTTTCTTTCCTGCTGAATCTAGCACAGTGTCTTCATAAATATTTGCAAAATAAAGGAATAAACAAAGTGAGGGACTCGTTTACCATCAGAAATGGAGTACGGCTACATCTTAAAAGTTCCCACTGGCTTTTAGCCTTGTTCTTTAAAATACTAGAGCTTACTTTCATCAAGTTTAAGATTACAATTGTACTGGTTATTTATTTACTTGTTATGGACCTTCTATCATCCCTCAAATCAAATACATATGTACCCTATATAAATATATATACATTTTTCTTCAACCTGGTAAGAAGGAGAAAAAAAATCCTTAGAAATAAAAAGGTTCACAATTCTCATTAAATTCAGAGGGAGCATTTAAATGGCCAAGGCTACTTCTCCAAGAGAAAATGGTCTGTAAACCCACATACCGCAGGCAGCAGTACTCTACCCTGGCTACATATCAAAATTACGTGGGGAGAGATTCTGAGAGGAAACCTGGGAATCAACATTTTTTTTAAGTCCTTCAGGTGACTGTAATCACAGAGATCCACTAGGCCAGAGTGGAGAGCCACTAAGCCAGAACAATATCACTTTCTACCTGAGTAAGATGAACAAAGATGGCACAGAAGAGTGAGAAAGTGGAGCCAGCAAGGGGAAGAAGATACTTTTCCCCCTAATCTTCCCTTACTTGTCCCCTGGCTCTTGGCCCTTCATTTCTAAGCTCTGTTGGAAGACTCAGAACCCTGGGCTCATCAGGGAGAGGTAGGGAATGATTATGGACACACCTCGGCCTCTCCCACAACTTCTGGACCACAGGTGACAGCATGATGGGTTTTTATTATGAAGCTGCAAGCAAGGGTCTTCATAGTCAGTGGTCAAAAAGAAGAAAAATAAAGCTATCCTCTTTTCAGCAATAGCAGCAAAGAGTGATCTCCCTCTATCCCAGACAGGAAGAGAAAGTTAATAGCGGTTCCCAGGGGAGAGCTGGGGGCCAGGGGCAGCAGCCACTGTGCTGGAGGGGAAGTGAAAGAGGCTCTGGCCCAGTCCGTCAGGAGCCACTGCATGCCATACTAGGGTATTTTTACTAGGCTGGAGAAAAGTAGTCAAAAGGGGAAACTAGACTGGGCTGGGGATGTGGTTCAGTGGTAGAGCACTTAGGTAGCACGTGCAAGGTGCTGGGTTTGATCCTTGGAACTGTTAAAAAAAAAAAAAGAAAAAAAGAAGGGGGCTATTGTCCCTTAACAYGAGGCCTATAAGCTGCTGGAGATGATCAGAGTAGGGACTAAAACTGGCATCTCTGTGGATGCCTGCAGAAATTGTATACATGTGTGTGTGTGCGTGYACCACTAATGGAAGGAGTTTCTGTTCTTCAACAGTTTCACAAAGATTAAGGGTGACAACTGGCCCTGAGTAGCATCCATTCTAAGCTGAACACCTATTTGTCACCCATATACCCTGTTCTGTCAGATCTGTCCAATTGCAAGTAGCAGGGAAGGGCCTTGAGAAGTTACAGGAGTGACTGACATTCATCTTTGTGCTCAGCCTATGTCTTCCTGGAGTTCCCACTCAGGGGTGTAGCTTTCTCACATCGAGATGACCTGTGCACAGCTAATTGTCACCAGCTTCATCCCCCACTCCAGTGTGGCGCTTTCCTTCCCATGCAAGCACAGGGGCTGTCTATTTCCTCATCTCTCTGTTCTTCCCGTCTGCCTTTGTGATCCCAAACTTGAATCCATTTTTCTCTGTCTCTAACCAGGTCTCTTGCCCTGCCCTTGACCTCCAAAGTTCAATGACAGTGATGTCAGTCTTAAAGGTCCTCTGCAGCTTCCTAGGTTTTGGTTATCACCCTCATTGTCACCACAACATTCTGAGATGCTCTTCTTCTCTGGTGGGGAGAGGGGCAGTGCTTAGCTCAGCTTTTCCTCCTGGGGAGCAGAGTTTTGGGGAAGTCCATGAGGAGGCTACTTTACTTTAGAGAAAATAACTAGAACTGACTTTCTTGATGTTACACAATAGCCAAAARTAAAACTATCCAACTAGTGTTAACTGTGGGGTAGAGGAAATACTAATTACTCTCATTTATATAGACTGCTTTTATGCATGCTTAATTTCCATCTAGCACAATAATGTGGATCATTAAGTGGGTCAGTTGCCTTTCTTTTCAAAGATGAACTGTGTTCAGGTATGTTCAGTTTTGAAAGTTCGCTGATCCTGTGGCAGAGCTGTCTGCTTTCAATTTAGGGGGAAAAAATCATTAGAAGAGAATGTTGGCTTACACACAGAAGGCAGGGAGGGGAAAGGCGCCTAACAGGTCAGGACCCTTTGCATCCCTCATGATTAACTGTGTGACCTTACCTCTCCAGGCTTCCTTTTCTCCCCACCATGGTRGGAAGCACTGGGTACTGACTTTGACTACCCCCCACCTCCCCGCCATTAAGCAGTAGCTTGCTTGCTTGCTTTCCTTTCCTTTTTTTTTTCCTAAATGAAACATGCAGAAGCAGAAAATGTTTCCCAAAATATAAAGCAGGTGAAAGAAAAAAAAAGAAAGCCACGTAAGAGTATCTCTGAGGTATCTGCACAAAACACTGGGGTTCAGGGTCATCTGATGATCAATGACTTTGTAAGAAGTGGCCAGGCTGGCAAGGCCCCTTATGAACTCTTACAGCTTTGGAGGAAGGGTCAGAATAACACCCATATGATGGAAGGTGCTCCTAGCATAGCTGGAAGTTAACCTGAGGCCACTGCAAAAACAGGTGGAGGGAAACACTTCATTCTAAACTTCTGACCATAGTGGTTAAGATGCATGCTTGGCATTCCCTCACACTCAAAAAAAAGCTCAATCCAAGTGATTGCTATTTCAAATTGACCTTTCCAAATTGTTGGTGAGAATTAAATGAATTGACTCAGTTATGCCTCAATTTCAAAAGAGGCAGTTTTGAAACCTGTGGTTCCCTGAGCTCTAAAATACTAAGCCATTTGTCCTAATGACACAGCAGACTCTGAACTCTGGAATACCACAGGAATATCACACCACTGCAAATTACTAGGGGTGCTGAGTCTTCAAAAAAAGGGGAAGTGAAACAAAAGCTCGGCTCTGTTTTTGAGATGCATATTTGATATGGACAAATTGAATAGTTTCTGAGATTATTTTCCTGGAGGCATTTATTCTGCACAGCTACACAGCCCTTAAGTTTTTCCTTTGTTATATCTATCTATGTATAAACACATCGCCTCTATAGTGGGCTATAATCTCTCTCACTGAAGCTTCCAAAGACAAGGCCTTTTTGTCATGGGTAAGTGCAGGGCCAGTCAACCTGACAAAAGGAGTCATTTAATGCTTAATTTCCCCAACTTTCCTATGATTAAAAAAAAAAAAAAAGGTCTAACTTCAAATGYTGTAATTGTATTACATCTAGATTGTTTTCTTTCTCCATCCCCCAACAAATGTTTAAATTGTCYCTAGTGGCAGGGACGTTCTCCCCCACCCCACACATTTTTTATCAAGCCAACCTTGAAAAATGAAACACTCTCCTTTTCTCTGGCTTACCCTATTTTAAAATTGAGGCCCTTTGACCTTTTCAACAACACACTTCTTGCCTGACACACCAAATGCTAATTTGAAAGACAGAGGAGGTAAAAGGGTCTGGGTAGCTGGGCAAAGGATGCGGGGAGGTTCTATATATTTGGCATCAGCTCAGAAATTCAGAAAATGTTTGTGCAACCACTCCCCCAGCCAGGATCCCAACCCCCACCCTCATCACAGGGCCTTCTAGCACATTAATAAAAAAGGGACGTGAGAGGATGAAATCGGAGAGCCCAGGAGGACAGTTAAGGGGGTCACGATTGTGCACCCAGGGAAGCCCACTGTTCACTGGCACATGTCTACGCCTCATCCCTCCTTTCCTGCATCCAAAGTTTAGGATCAGGACCTCTTCGGCTCCCACCCCCACCCCCAGAGGTGGCCAGTTAAACTTTGAAGCAGCGCCGCCCATGAACGGCTGGTATGAGACAAATTGACACTGCTTCTGCACGTCGAGGTGGCAGCGCTGTGCACCTTAAGAATCATGTATGTTCTTATTTTAAAAGGAAAAAAAAAGAAAGTTCAGCGAACGCACAAGCCTGGAACACATTAACTTGTAAACTGAATCGAACACACCTAAAGAGAATCCATCCCCCTCTCAAACAAAAAGAAGGGGTGGGGGGGGGGGAGGCGAAGGCACTTTACCATCTTGTCCTGAGCTTTCCAGATACTCCGTCAGGTCACAGCCAAATGCACTGGCGGCCCCCTTTCGTTTCAGCTTCTGCTTGGCACCCTTGTTCTTCATGAGTTAGTCCCAAAGAGGCTGCCCCTCCGTCTCTCCCTCTCTCTGCTAGGCACCGCGCGGACGATGGTCTCCGGGGTTAGATCACTGGCTGCAGCGCGGCGCCGGGGGTCCGCATGGGCGAACCGAAGGACTTGGGCCGCGGGCGCTGGGCATGGACCCCGAGGGGTTGCGAGCCCGGGTGCCGGCGCGCGCGGGCCGGGGCGCGGCGGGGAGCGCGGCCGAGCCAGCAGAGCCTGAAATCCACCCCGCGCGCCTCCAGGGCCGCGGTGCCTGAGGCCGTGCAGAGCTGGCAGCTGCGGGCCGGCTCGCTTGGGAGTGTCACTTCCTCACTTGGAGTCGCWGGGACTTTCACAGGCGCCTGCGATGTCTTCGGCTGCTTTTCCTCKGCTTCAGAGGGAAGGCGAGCTCTCTCCTCTTCGCCTTCCTAAGTGTCCAGGAGAGATCGCGAGCGCGGTGAAGGCGGCTTTGGCGAGGGGCRAGGAGACCGCCCCGGAGCTGCTGTATGTCTCTGCCCTGGGCCCGCTGTCTTGCCTTCAGACGGCTTCGGTAAAGCGAAAAACAAGCATCCTGTCTCCCTCGCCCGCCCTCACGCCTTCCTTTTTTTCCTGTCTTACAAATCCTAGGATCATCCAGCTCAGGAAACGCTGGAAGGAAGTTAGCTAGGGAGGGGGGCGGAGGGTGGAAATTTTTGGCAGCTCCGTGCTCGTGTGTGTATGGAGCTGGAGGAAGTAGGTGGGTGGGTTGAGGAGTACCGGTTGGGGGAGAGAATGCGCTCTCCTGCGGGCCGTTCTGCGACTTTAGAGATAGCTCTGGGCGGCCCAGAGGAAATCACCGCTCTCCTAGGAGGACCCGCAGCCCGGCCGCCGCTTCCTGCCCCTCCAACACAGCTCTTTGAAGAGGACAGGAGGAGGTGCCCTGGCCTTCTCCAAGGAGGGTGCGGGATGGGGCTCTCAGAAAGTTCTGCTTTAGTGTACTCCTCACCGTCATCCTATCTCTGACACTTTCTATTTCGGTGCCTGCCTTTCTCCGCCTCAAACACCTAAAGAGCAATGACAGAAACAAAGACCAGGACTCCAGCAGAGAGACCTACCTACCTGACAGCCAGCTGGTCTGCGCTGGCCACTTCCATCCCTCCCGGTACCCCAAGCCTAGCTGACTCCCCAATCCACCCTGAAGTAAGGATACCCTTGGGTTAGAGTAGCTTCAGCTTTGTTTCCACTGCCCCAGAAATCTGATTTCTGGTTACAGATTCACACACATACACACCCCACATGTGCAGGAGCAAATTTATTGCAAAGTGTGCTAAACGGAAGTGCTTTTKGGGGAAAGAATCTGGGATTTAAGGGGCCTCTGAGATTTTAGCAAATTGTAGAGAGARCATTCTCCCAGATTGTTTCATAATTTGTCCCAAGTTGTTTTAGGAGGACATGTTTTTCCTTCTCCAGTTGGACTTGAAATTCCTTGACTTCTGTGTACTCAGCACACAGTAAGCACTCAAATTCTTGTGATTTAACTATTTGAGGATTAGATTAAACTTCCTGTATAAATACAAATCCATATATAGGCTTGAAGGGTAGAGACAATCTCGCAGCTCAGATTGCTGGCAAAAGCTTTATGTATAGYATTTTAGTTACTGAATCCCTTTACAGTCACTTATATATCACCATGACAGTTTGTGAACTTTAACACCTGACCTTTTCTCTATGTCAGCTCACAACCTGATAGTTACCTACCAAATCTGGCTTACAGATGTGTTTGTCTTGGTGCATCCATGTTTAAATTAAAAAAAAAATTAATTGTCAACACTGAAGAGTTAAGAGATTTTTGCATAAGTGATCTGGATTTTTGCCTTCTCTTCCAAAAATGGAAGATATGGTTACACCACAAGTGCATTTCTATATGGCAAGGATTGGTGATGCCAGGTTGTTACAACTCCCTTCGGGCTACCCTCTTTAGAGAGATGAGCCTTCCAGTTTTGCAGCCTCTGCTGCCTGTCTTCCCCTCTTTACACCTGCCTGGCCTCTGCAGTCACTTGAGTTTGTGCCCCTCTGTATGGGCTCTTCTTCCTTCCATTTTTCTGTCTCAGTGATACCAGCATCATCCCAGTAATCATGGTGAGACATCTCCACGTAACCATTGACTCATTGCTTTCCTTCTGCCCCACCACCAAACTCGTCCTGCCTAGGCCCATGAGTCCTTCAAGATGCCTCTCAGCTGAGGTTCTTCTTTTCCAGGCCTACTCAGTGATGATCATTCACTCCTCAGTTACTAGAATAATTCCTAGTGGGTTTTGCTAAGCACTTCTTCTGTCCTCTGTATTGAAGGCCTGACACATCCTCCTGGAGCACTGCTATTATATGACTGCTCACTGAAATCCTTCCATTTTCTTTCCTAYTGCCAAGGCAGCAATGTTTAAGCATTTTGTGAGCTGTTTGGAGAATATCCAGTATGGCATTTGATATAATGGCTTGTTCCTCCTTTTATTTATAGAGAATCATTTTGTAATGAGACTATAATTATCACTATTAACATTTGTTTAGGAGTTTACTTTAGCATGTATTACTTCATCTGATYCACAATGGATTTCATCACTTTGTCAGCAAGGGAGAGAGGCAGAATGGCACTTTTTTCCTGGGTCTAGACCCCCAGGACACAAATTATGGATAAATTGTTAAGGCCTGTGAATTTCATTTTAAATCTTTAAAAATATTCTTTTACCTTTTCATTTTGAAATAATTTTAGTTTACAATTCTTTTTTTTTTTTTCAAAAAATCGTCAAAGAATTCCCATCTACCCTTCACCCAGCTTCCTCAAATATTAATCTTACATAAGAAGTACAGTTACCAAAATTAGGAGGTTTACACTGAGAGAATAATACTAACAAATCAACAGATGCTATGAAATGTGAACCAACTTTTGATTCCATAAAGTTTTTATTAAATATGGCCTTTCTCATAGTAAAGTCAATTAGCTAAATATGGGAATAATGACTTATAAGTAATTATCAAAACACTTCACAGTGTAACTTTGCTATTTATAAGGTTCCCTTAACCACCACTGAATCTAGCAGATGTAGTTTGTGGGGAAATGGGGCTACCTGTGTGAACTAATAAGGCTAGTTACCAACCTTATCAGCCGTCAGATTCTTCCATGCTTTATTTAGAATTTCCCCAAAGGACTCCATCWTCATAGGCTTTTTTAACTTGGAACACCCCCAGAGATCTTTTGGTCCCTGATTCACAATAAGTTGGTTCAAGTTGTTAAGGGTTCAGGGTGGAGATAACATTGAGTCCCTGGCAAGGTGTTCATTGTGCCTATTCTGATTGAACAAATTTTATTAGAAATGTGCACTGGTGGGTTTTTTAAAAAATCTCTGTTTGTTAACCCTTGATCATTATGATGTGATGAATTCACAGCCTATTAATTCAGATAATAAAATCACACAGTGACAACCTCACTTAGGGATCTGGAAAATGTGCTCCTTCCCATTTGTTCCCCGTCCCCTCTCAATGTTGAGCATGACCTGTGACAGATGCCAAATTTGAATTTCACCTTTCTCCTAGAAACCTTTTTTCTACTTTTCATTCTCTTTCCTTCTTCCTCTTATTTTTTGCTTTTCTCATTTCTCTTTTCCCTTTCTTACTCTAAGGTGATTCTTCTATGGGACTGTGGAAAAAATTCAGATTTGGGTTCCAAAGGGTTTTTCCACCAGGCTGCAGATTTCCTAGGGCTCAAGGTTATATGGAGATAGCGTAAGAATGTTAACTTAAGGGAAAATAAGCTATTTGGTGATACTGTAAATTATGCCCTCAGCCSATTGTCATGGTGCAGACTTGCTAGGAAAGCACTTTTCTCACAGGGAGAAACCACCGAAGAATTCTGTGGTTGCTTACAATCCCTCTTATTTCTACCTGTTGAGGACAGATGCCTATTGAAGTGTACCATCTGCTCCCTTCATCACCCAGAATGCTAGCTAGCAATCACCTTCGCTATAAATAAATAGATATAGAAGACACAAAGCAGGTATTGGGACGTTTTATTATCACTCATGATCTTAACTTTTCTTTTACCCTGTTTGCCCATAAAAATAGACTTGACTATGGACAATTTTAGCATTCTCCCCCATCTCCTAGTAATTTGTTTAAATGTTCATATATGATTCCTTGGCCATGGACTGCCATGAGTGTGTTCTGAATATCAAGTTCTAGGATGCTGGAGTGTTACCTCATTTTCTTGCTGAATACATTTCTTCCCCCACTTCCTCTCCATTCCTACCTCCACAGCTGCCCCTGTTTTAAAGGTGTTTGTGTGGTATCTACTTTGATGTGGTGTGCCAGTGGTGTGTCTTTCAGACAGGCCTTGAGCCTGACCTCAGCCCAGCTATCAATACCCTGAGGTTCTGAAGCCAGTAGAGGATGAGGGTAACTAAAACAAAAAGGCTTCCAGAAAGTTTTGTACCCCAGACTCTGTTGTTGCATTTCCCTATATGTGTGTTTCTAATCCAGGTTATACTGCAAATTTTTGCTTCTAAATGTCCAAATGACGTTGAGCACTTTTCCTTAGACAGTATGGGGAATGTGGAGCTCCACATTACCAATCCCTAATCAGATGTCACAGAGATTGTAAGTCCAAGTGGAGGAGAGGCCAACTTGATGGAAGAGAAGGATGGGAACTGTAATCAGTCTCCCACCCTGACCAACTGACTGACTTCCCATTGCTCCACCATCTCCGTGACTATGAAAGCCAGCATTGCTTCTAAACGAGCTTCCAAGGGCAGAGCAGTGCTGTGTTAAGAATGGAGGAGAGGGGACTTTAAATGGCCACTCCCAGCCTGAATGTTGAAGAACAGACCAAGTCATTATTGCAATATCTATTCATCTCTCCCTCCCTGCTCTCTCCCTCACATTGTGTATTTCAGTTCATTTMAGTTCCTGGAAGCTGCAAAACTGCGTTAGTCAGGGGAAAAAAAAAAACTGGAGGCACTGCTTCACTCCCTGAGAACATAAATTAGTTACTTTACCACCAGTCTGTCATTTGGGGGTAACAGGGGTAGAGGGTAAGAGCATACTTAGAAAGGAAAGACTTGGTTACAAATGAAGTCTTACTTTCTATAACAAAACATCAACTGATTGGTCTGCCATCTCCTAATTTAAAAGCTCAGACTTTTATTTGAAAGACTAGATGTCAAAGAGATTGTAAATCCAAGTCACCTCCAGCTTTATAAGTTTGGGAGCTGGTAAGGGTAAAAACTATCTTTTGGAGAAAGATAAAACATAGTTCTCTACACATCAAGGACCATATCAGACCTTCAGAAGGAAATGTCCTTTCATGRTATAAAATACAGGGCCAAGTAGAAATTGAGAGGGTAGGACTAGAGATGAAATGAGACATCTGAACATAGTATTTGAAATTGAGAAATAAAAATTTCCCCACCAATATTTTAACTATACTCTAGTTTTTGTGTGTGTCCAATACTGTATTGTTCAAAACAACAACAACAAAAACAAACAAACAAACACCATAAAGACATTTGATCCATTTGCACAGTTGTGGCATTAAATGAGACT